AGGATGCCCTACTACCAGGAAGTCAACTTCAGGATTCAACATCATCTTTCTTGGAACAACAGTTGCATGTGGCAGCGGAACACAGGCTACAATAGCACTCAGTTCAGCAGAATCTGAACTCTACACCATCTGCGCGGGAGTTAATGAGGGACTACACCTCAGAAACTTCCTACTTGAAACCAACATTTGCAGCAAACTAAACCTACGCATTCACACAGACTCCACAGCAGGCAAGAGCATTGCTACACGACAAGGTACAAGCAACCGAGCAAAGCACATCCACCTCAAATTTCTCTACACACAGGACCTCATGAAACACGACATCATCAGAATCCTTAAGATCAACACACTCCACAACGGCGCAGATTTGTTTACCAAATACATTAGCAAGGAAACACTACACAGGCTCATTCAGAGCATTGGGGTACGCATGTAGCACTACGAACGACCAGCGCAACTGATTCACAACAACAACAACAACAACAACAACAACGACTTCACACATGTTTGTATGTAGCAGCTACATGTAACATGACACTTTTGGTATGTAAGTAACAGTAACTACAGGTAATGTCACTTGCACTTTTGGCGGCATGATAGGCGGCTTCAGAAGACACTACAGCTGCTTGTTTCATTACATGTCTGCATGCGCCGTTCGTTAGCCACTACTCCGGCTCATTTGCACTGCCCCGTTTCATTACCTTTTTGTGTCCACTACAGCCATGGCCGCTGGACCTTCGAGTGTTGATGCCACTATGGGTATCACTACACCCGATCGAGCATCGACTCCACTTGTCGTGGAGAATACAGACTCGAGTGACCAAGAAGGGTCACTACCAGCGCCCATCTACAACGAGAACAACTACCACTTCAACCGCACAACGCCCAATACCACACCTTACTACCAGCCATCAGCAATCACGAAACAACTACCGCATTCACGCTTGAAGAGTACCAACTACTCTCACTACACCAGTCGACACCACTCAGCCAACTCGACTACAACCGACCACTACAGTGCATCCCGGGCGACCTGAGCATCACCATGGCAGAAGCCCGTGCACTACTACCACACAACCTTCTTCCGCACCACAACCAGTCACACTAACAACTACATTGTTGTCAAGCTACAGATTGAGAAAGAACTATTGCTGAGGCACCTTACCTCAGGACAACTACTCCACTTCACCCGCAACTACATTTCCTACATGCTCTCCATTCGAACAACACACTACCTTCCACTTTCACAACACACAACACATCTACAAGGTGGACTACGACATGAGCAGGTTCACCGACATCTACAGCCTGAAGAGCAGTTAGTTACATTTGGAACTACCACATGCCCCTGCTACTACCTGAGCTACTCCACTACCTCAACCACCACGACCAACTACATGACTTCCAGCGCAAAGAAATCACTACCATTCTCAGCAAAAGCACAATACTACGGCATCACACTACTCACCATGACAGACCTCACTCCACCACAACGACTGCAACTCAAAAACTACCTCCTGCAACTGCGGACTACCACTGGCAGCACCCAAGATCGATGACAATCGACTACGGGGAGCTCCCGATTCTAACAACTACACACTACTTCAGCACACTGGGTGACAGGCTGAAGCTAGTGCACGTCTACAGACTTCACTGCTGGCAAAAGCATGCTTGACCACTACATGCTGGACTACAACATCTGACGACTCCTGAGAGTTAACTAGGACCCTGTACAGCCACTACATTCTTTTGGCCTTTTAAGGGTTGGATGAACTACAACCAGCAGCGTTGTAGTAGACCTACTTTCGGTCATTTTTCAAGGAGAAGAAAACTACATGTCAGTCTTTTGGTTTCCCCCTTTTCTACTACGGTTGCGCAACACTTTCAGATTGCTCAACCGAGGGGGCGTGTCAAACTACAGTGAGTGCAAAATACAGTTGCATGTGCGCTACACTGATAGTTATCACATACCACAGGCCTTGGGCCTCAGCCCGACTACAGCTGGAGAAAACAAAGGCTGCAGCAGACTACATTTGCTTGTGTTAGAAACAACACTGCGTTTGCACTTGTAGTAATTGTAACTCCGATTTTACGAGAGAGAGAGAGAGAGAAAGAAAGAGAGAGAGAGAGAGGAGCATCACTAGAAGAGCGCAACAGCAGCACAGGGGGACTAGAGTAGCATCACTCGAAGAGCACTACCAGAGGCGTGCGCTTGGGGATGATCATCAAAAGATGATGTCTTTCTTTGCCTGCGTGCTTGTGAGAACACACACCGAAGCCTAGGTTTGAACTCCCAAGTCTACAGCTTCCACAAGAGACGCAGTATTGTACTCACTTGAACTCCAAAATTCTTTGCGGGAAAGAGAAATTGCGCGTGTTGCCTGAGCCAAAAGCACATACACCTCACGTGGAACCCCCCCTAACTTCTTCGTTCACCTCGTGCGCAAACGGCCGTCAGCCCCAGTGTGTTTCGCCTCAGCGAAATTACCCCGTCTTTCACCCTAGACTATTCAACAAACATCCCGCAGCCCACGGAAAGTTTTTTTCACTCCGGTCCTTGGTCGGTAGGTAGTGACCATCACTCAGACAGTTCCAAAAGTATGGTGTTTAGCCGAAGAGCTTCACAAGTTCACCGCAAGAGGACATGACCTTTCACGCAAATCCTTCGCACTTGCTGGCCTGCAACCCCTAGACATGAGATTTTTGTGGTCTGGCCCCATCTGATCGTAGAGGGCCCCTGGGCAAGTGTCTGTGTGTCTGTGTGTCTGGGCGTCTGTGTGTCTGTGTTTGTGTGCGTGTTTTTGTGCGTGTGTGTGTGTGTGTTGTGTGTGTTTGTGTGTGTTTGTGTGTGTGGTTGTGTGTGTGCGCGTGTGTGTGTGTGTGTGTGTGTGTGTGTGTGTGTGTGTGTGTGTGTGTGTGTGTGTGTGTGTGTGTGTGTGTGTGTGTGTGTGTGTGTGTGTGTGTGTGTGTGTGTGTGTGTGTGTGTGTGTGTGTGTGTGTGTGTGTGTGTGTGTGTGTGTGTGTGTGTGTGTGTGTGTGTGTGTGTGTGTGTGTGTGTGTGTGTGTGTGTGTGTGTGTGTGTGTGTGTGTGTGTGTGTGTGTGTGTGTGTGTGTGTGTGTGTGCGTGTGTTTGTGTGTGTGTGTGTTTGTGTTTGTGTGTGTGTGCTTTGTGTGTGCTTGTGCGTGCTTGTGTGTTTGCGTGTGTTTTGTGTGTGTGTGTGTGTACGTGCGTGCGTGCGTGGGTGGGTGTATGTGTATGTGTGTGTGTGCGTGTGTGAGTGTGTGCGTGCGTGCGTGCGTGCGTGCCCGCGCGCGCGCGCGTGCGTGCGTGCGTGCGTGGGTGTGGGTGTGTGTGTGTGTGGGTGTGGGTGTGGGTGTGGGTGTGTGTGTCTATGTGTGTGTGTCTATGTGTGTGTGTCTATGTGTGTGTGTGTGTTTTGTGTGCGCTTGTGTGTTTTTGCGTGTGTTCTGTGTCTGTGTGTTTGTGTGTGTGTGTGTTTTGTGTGCTTGTGTGTTTGCGTGTGTGTTTGCGTGTGTGTTTGTGTGTGTGTGTCAGTGTGTGTGTGTTTGTGTGTCTGTGCCTCTGTGTCTGTCTGTCTCTGTGTCTTGGACCTTAGCAAATCCCACCCCTCTCCAAGATTGCCAGCGTTATTCTTACTAGACGCGTAGAGTCAGACGTGATGATTTCGCCGGGCCTTTTGCAAAAAATGTTCTCATCAAAGCCTTTCGAAGTCCCTCTGAATGAACGTTGCACATGCCATCCCTATTGGGGCCATGCCATCCTTAATGGCGGCGTATCAAATTTTGCTTGAAACTATCCCACATGATTCTCAACCCTTGTGCGTGTCATTCTTGGATCTTTGCAAGCCTCATTTTGGCTGGGCCTTTGCAATCAGGATTCTGCGTCATTGTCATTGGTCCTTTGTGCAGCCTAGTCGGTTCTGCACCAGCGCGCACCCACGTAAGCAGTAAGTTTCGGGCTTGTCCTTGTTGGGTATGCAAGTTGGTCTTGAAAAGAAAAGGGGTTCCAAAACAAAAGCAAAAAAGAAGCAGCGCAATCTCACTGCTTCTGCCCTGAGCATCCGAGCGCGCTTGCGGGCTGGAGGTCCACACTCCACATTCTTCACTGCCGCTTTCCATGGCCCGGTCAGCTTCAAGCAACGCAACCCTGCATCTAAGTAAGCAAAAGACAAAACAAACGCAGCTGAATGTGGAATCCTTGGCGTGCGTGCTCCCTAGTTAAGTTTCCGCGCGGCCACTTATCAGGCAAGCGGGCCGTCCAGAAAATCCGAAAGACGCTCGGCCGGCGATTCAGTCAAACTATCTAGGCACCACGGGTCCACCAGAAAGAGCCTACTCCAGGACGGAGGGTTGTGCAAAAACTGGAGCCAAATTGGACAAGCAGATGAGTCTACCAAGGCAAGACAAAGCAACGCGTCGTCACTTTGGCGCAGCACCCTGGCATGAGCGTGTTCTTCGCAACAGACCCTCCCCCAATCACCCACGCAAAGAACTCACCACCGCGCCGGTTCCTTTGTTGCTTGCGAATGCCGCATTGGATCCTCTTTCCAGACGTGTTGACGTTTCAACTTGATGGGCTGGGGAGTGGAAATGGGAAGAGTGGGAAGAACAAGAAAAATGGGAAGAATGGAACATGGTGAGCAACTTTTGGATTGTTGTAGCCATGGAGCTTGCCTCAGGCACTGTTGGTTTGTTGTACCTTTGTAGACTTTGCCAAGACTCAAACGCACACCATTCCGCATATTTCTAGGCTTGGCATCATTAGTTTGCAGATCCACGCTGGCTCAAGAGTTCCTCGAAGGCTGGCGCCGTTCGACCTTGGAAGCATCTTCTTCTTCTTTGCCCACACATCCGACTGAAGCTTATCAATCAATGCTTGCCTGTTTGGGGTCAGCTGTGGCCCCGCCCTTCCCCCGTACTATTCAGTTTAAGAGCCAAGTTCGGGCGTGGGGATTGGCCTGAGGCAGTCAGTTTGCCAGGTCGGCATGCGCTACGCGGAGGGCAAGAACATTGTCAGCGCCACGCTGAACCGAACACCGGATCCAAGGATTCCAGGAGCGGATCCAGCAACGCAGGTCAGGCTTTTTTTGGGGAACCTGGTGTGCTTTTTTGATTTAGAACAACACACTGGTCATGAACAGAAGCCGTTTGTTTGGCTTGATGTTGCCAGCAAGCCCGCTTCACCCTGCCATTTCTTTCCATAGTTCCCGTACGGTGTGGCCTCTTTCTTGTGTTTTTTTTGTTGCGGGGTTCAAGCGTCACGCGTTTTGCCTTATGTGATGTCTCGCCCGGGGAACTTGTTTATTCATGCAGGTCAGTTCGCTTGGGTTGCAACGAGCCTTCGCGTGTTACACGGAGCTGGTACACCCGGAAGACACCTGATGTCTTGTGGGCTGAACTGTGTGAAATCTGGCCGCGGGCTGCAGGCTGCGTTTAGATCACAGTCATCACAGGCAGACACGCATGTACGCACGTGTACGCACAACCCACATAGCATACGCATCTACACACGAGTAGATACTTCTAAGTTTTGAAGATGCTGCGGGAGACTTGGCTGGCCGTCAACGTCCGGCGTTTTGATCGTCAAGAAGGAGCATGTCTGGTCAGAGGAGTCAGACAATGGAATCGAGGACATTGAAGTGAAGTTATCAAACTACACGTTTGTGCCTTTTGCCCCACCGCTGCTCAACACTGGAATGCTTGAAGTGCGGGACGCGACCAGTATTGCGCAGCAGGTTTTTGAGACCCTCGTTTTGCGTGTGAGCGTCGACCAACATTGAAAGGCCTCTCGGTCGCTTTCTCCTGCCATGGCTTCTATGGCCAGCGGGGCGAGGGAGGAGGCCCAGACGCGACTTCATGCGCGAAGAAGCAATTTTGAGGCTTTGGCTGTTGCCAACTGTTGCCCTTGCATCCCCATGAAGGATCAGCAGCGTCAGAACATGCATTTCAAAGTGGCCCACGCAGCGTTACGAGCCGGCCAATGTGGGAGGTCGAGAGCTACAAGCCTCCCAGACCGGTCAGAAGGAACAACGTCCTTGGCACCAACACACTGCCACAAGCGGGTGAGCGAGCGAGCGATTTAGCGAGTGTGTTGTCAATGTGCGTGTGGTGTGGTATTGCATAGCTTGTGCGTGACCGCTAGCCTTGAGCTTGTAACTACGTGAGCCCATGCAAAGCAGGAGCTGTGCAGGCTACAGGTTTTCACTGTTTGTGTTAACAACATAACAGCGCTTGCACTTGTGTTACACTACGGTTTGATTTTAATGTGGTAGCGGAGCTGAGATCCTAAACATAGGGGAGCCTCCAGCACACAGCAGTAAGTACAACAACTGCAACGGCAATCACGTGCCAAACTACTACGCCCAAAGCGTACACAAAGACAAACTGCCACCACCGTTCTGCACTCGCGACTACTCACAGTATGAAGAATGGCTGTTCACACTACAAGCGTTTCTCGGACTCATAGACCGAGACTGCGACACGGGCTGCGACTAGCGCAAGTAGCTACACGACAAACTGAGGATGCAGGCACCAGAGCACACATACGCGACCCTACACAAGCAACAAGAGCAGTAGACCTCGCAAGAGACCGACGCTACATCCTCATCAACACATGCTAAGCAGCAGCGGCTACAGCAGCGCGACAAAACCGCTACAATGCAAATGGATGTGAAAGACTACGACTTTGGCGCAGCAGGTGCAGCTTACCAGTCGAACCCGAAGCGTTGGCAATCTCTCCAAGGTACCAGAACCTGCATTCTTCGAAGCGCGGGGAATACGACATCAACCGCTGCAAGAAAGACAACGGCGCAGCGCTACCAGATGGGAATACTACCCCCAGACCAAAGGAGCGCTGCAACAAAGCGGTCATACTACGAAGGAGAAGAAGGATATGGGCATGATGTAAACTACATGGAGGAGAATTGGAGCGACTACGGCCCTGGAACGGAAGCAGCCATGAAGATGCAGCAAACTACATTGGAGGCATCAACGGCTCACACCTCACAATTGGACACATCAGACAAGCGAAGCCACTACCGTGAAAGCGCAACCCCAAATCTACTTGAAAAGAAAGCGTCGCACGCAACCTCATGCAACGTCCACAGCAGCAACTTCCAACAGTACCTACAAGAGGACAAAACGCAACTGCGCTGCAACGTAGCAGCAGCAACACAACAGCAGAAGCAAAAGAAAACTGATGACAACATCACTTACTACATCATGTACTTCAACTTCAAGTCATACCACCACCTGCCAAAAGCCTATGCGCCGGATCCACCACTACGACCCTGCGGAGAACCAGTTCCACAACTCTACACCGATACGAACAAGAAGATCCCTGTCTATGGCATCAAGAATGTTAGCAGGACAACTTCAGGCTCATGATGCCCTACTACGTTTGTGTGCATCAAGACTACTAGAGGATATAGACTCGACTTCAAACCACGACACAGCACCAGCGCCCACGGACAGCAACAAGCACGCCTAATCAGACACTCAAGGCTTGTCTGCTTGCGAGCAGAAAAGACCAATATTTTTACGGGACACAACATCTGTCCAATGAGCACAGGCAATGGAGAACCCGTTGCTGTAATTCAACCTGCAGAGAAAACAAAGCAACAACAACAATAACACGTTGCACCACTAACACACACAGACCAAACACTAAGGCGAATCCTTGGTGGAAACACTGACTACTGGATCTTGATGGTGACTACGCCATCCGAGTCCAACACCGCAAAAACAACTAGATGATTGGCGACTTCCCATCATCGACAGAGCAAGAACAACTACCAGCCAACTCACTTTCCAAACAAGAACTACAGAGAAGACTTGAAGGTGATGACGGACTGGAGAAGCCAGATTCCGAAGAAGAGGCACACCCACGCACCGGGTGACAACAAAGACTACACCAACAAGACAAAGCTCACAACCGCAATATGCAAAGGAAACACCGCCAGCAAAGTCAAAGCTACAACTATGAACTCCAAAACAGCCGTGGAGACCCAAAGCAGCACCTTCCACAGACCTAGACACTACACAACCAAACAACCGCACGTAGACCACCAGCAGCACAAGAAGACAACCAAGCCTACTGGGAAAGACAAGGTGAACACTGGATGAGACGATCACTTAGAACTACACTGTTCACACCTACAGATGGACCAGGACATCCCCGCAACAGAGTTGAACCTCACAGAACGCCAGCCGCTTCGGCGAAGTTTCATAACGCACGGATGACTGGACAGTCATCGGCTAGGCAGCAGTACCATTCCAGTGGAACAGCGCAACAAGGCGCACCAAAGTAAAGACTACGAATACCTCCAAGAGAACGACGACAAGGAGCAACGCCACGAACACCATGAAGCACACAGAGCAAGAGGCCTATGACAACAATCAATCCCACAACATAGCAGAACGCAACCTGATGCACCTGCCGCGCAAAAACTGCACAAGGCAAAGGACGTCAGGACAATTACAAGAAACAACAATCACGACAACCCGTCGTTCAAGTAGCATGGCGGTGTTGGTTCCGGACCAACCACCAATGATAGGCTGCATGACCAACAACCTAGAAGCATTCAGCTTTGAGCGCGGCAGAACGCAAGGCATATTACAAAGTTACAACGAAGACACCCTCAATGCGCTCTTAAAAGCAACAGCACCCAAAGCCAACCAAATGACTGCTACAGCAGGACAATGTCTACAAAGCGCTGTCTACTACTTTGGACAGTGCGACACGCAGCATGGACAGTAAATTGCTACGTCATCCACTCCGACGGCTACATAAGCCTCGAACACGGCTGGGGAAGAAACTACGAGCGAGCAATTTGCCAAAATTGGCGAATCATTACTTTACCTTCCACCGCAACACAAGAAGCTTCCGAATGCCGATCTCACTCCGAATGCAGAAACGCATATGGCTCGGAAAAGTTTCCGAAACAGGAGAAAATGCGTCGCAACAAAACAAGGCGTACTAAAAGCAAGAACAGTACGAAGACTACAACCAGGTTTCAAGTGTGCCATTGCGCTACTAAACAAGGTCTCCGGCACACCTTGGGCACCACGAGGCCACACCTACATTCCGTCATTGGCAACACTGCTGGACACGCAACTTCAATCGTCGGAACAAAAGAGACGAAACACGCAAGATTCCGGACATCGTCGCAGACCCCTCGACGAAACAACAATGCGCCGCGTCACCGCCGAGACTTCCGTCAACCTCGGCGTCAACTTGACGACCACTACCGGACAGCCCCCAGGGCTACTTCACCAACCGGACGACAACATCCAACAAACTACCGGCGCCACCACATCGACAAGAACTACGACGCATGACTCTGGAAGAAGTACTGCGACCAACCAGAGCCCAAAAGACTTCAAAAGACAATACCATCAGATCAACAGAAGAAGCAACCAAAGATCCACAGCATCAACGCAGTGACACTCTCCAACGGAACATCCGTTGCCTCCTAAACAAACGACGACGCTTCTGCAGACTAGCCCATAATCTTCGACAACGCAGACTATGACGAAACACAACTACTGGAAGGAATGAGACACGAATCAAATCAAATGAGACTACATGATGTCTACGGCAAGGTAGATGCGTCTACACTCGACGACGAAATCATCAGGGAAGCAATCGCAACAAGATGGTTCCATAGAAAGAAAGGACCAGGCGTACGTTGCAGTATCTACACCGAGAAGATCGAGGACAAAGACTGCGTTTACGCTTCTACACCGTTCTTCGCAACGCTACGGACACTCCTCGCTGCAGATGTCATGACCAAACTGGGTAGCACGACTGGGCGACGTCTCGGCAGCATGTCTACACGTGCTTCTTTTTGTAAAGATAAGTCTTCATCAACAAGTATTTTTCCTACACCCTTTTGCATCAAGTTCCTGAGCTGTCTTCGTCCCAGCAAGACCTGGACCATGATGATTTTTATTCATGAAATATAGCAGCGGGAAGCTTTTTTCAACGCTAGGACAGAGTTCTTGACCAAAGACATGTTGAAAAACATTTTTGATATACTGTCTAAAGCACCTTGTGCTTTTCTTGGGCAAAAGGCATAGTTGCCTCTTTCTTACTGACTAGGTTCAATCTAAGTTTGTCGGTGTCTTGATATTCATTTTCTATAGATACACCTATAACACTTGAGGTATTCGTGCTTGGAAATTTTCAGTTGATACTGACCCGAATCTTTTGGTTGAAGCTATATACCTGAAATAAGAAATACCGCCCAAAAGAAAATTGACCATACTGATATATTAGAATTCGTCATAACGTTCTCATACACTTGTTCCTTGCAAAGATATGGTTGGCTAATGGTATACCCTTGTGTTTTATGGTGCGCTCATGTTTGTGTTGCTCACTTTCTGAACTTTGTACCTAACAAAAGATTTATCCTGTACCCTGCAGATATGATCGCAACAAGGTTTTACTGATTAGCATGTTTGGAGTTGCGGAGGTGCACGTCTGCAAAAACGACCATTTCATATGGAAAACACTAGGGCCCAAACGTGCCCCTCTCTTGATTTTAACGCACGTGTGAGAGAGAGAGAGAGAGAGGGAGGGAGGGAGGGAGGGAGGGAGGGAGGGTGCTGTAAGGGGCATTTTGCTTTCGCCTGGTTTCGCTTTGTCTGGGCAAATTTCGCGGGCGACGCTGACTGAGGAGCCCCCAACCAACTGCACGAACTGAGAATGCAGTTCGCCCGGGCTCCCGGCTGCCTAGCTTTCCGGAGATGGGCAGACGACGCTGAAGTGCAGCGGCGCCTGTAGCATTTGAGAAACGCACGCTTGCCGACATCTGCCCCTAAGGCAACCTATTTCCTTGCCTTTTTTGTCTGTGATTTGAACGTCAACTAACTAGCCCAGCTTTGAGCAAGTGAGATCGTGTTGAGTTTCCCCGAGATTGGAATCATGAATGTTTCCACCCGTAAATTTGTTGGACGCCTGTCAGGCGCAGCGTGAGGTTCACATTTGCGCTGGGACAATGGTGGAGGTTCGCTGCCAACCAACCAAGTTGAGCCCATTGCTGCTCATCCTTGATGTTGTTTATCAGCTTCTTTCAAGCCGGCTGGCCAGTGGTTTTTCTGAGAGCATACGCTTGGCTGCAACCCGCGCGTTACGTATATCAATGGGTGCGCAATCATGTTTGACGGGTGTGTCAGAACAACCTTGCTGGCACTTGGCAAGAGCATTGGTATTTGAATGCTAAACAGTCCCCCAGTACGAAGCCCGATAATTGAAAATCCCAAATCTGGGAATACTACTTTTAGAATAGCCAACGCTAAACGAATTCTAAAGTACGTATTTTCCCGCCCGTGCCCAAATCCAGCGCTTTTAAGGAACCTTTTCTGCACCTTCAATTCTTCAAACCACAGTTATTAATTGACGGCTCTTTGTAGAAACGGGTCGCCTGCCTCCCTGAAACAAGACAAAGGGGAATTCCTCGCCTCGTGCTGGAGGGTTTTAGTATTAGGGTCCGTGGTTCTGAGTATTAGGCTGTGCGGCTTTCGAGCCGGAGCTCCGGAAGTTCGTTTCCTTTACTACGAAGGGAACGTAGCCGCAACTAGCGCTCCAACCACTTGGAACAAGCACCTTGGGGCAAGATTTGATTGAGACAAGATCCAGTCTTGAAATTGAAGCAGCTGCGCAGCTTCTCCCTTAATCGGATGGGAGTTTGTGAAAAAGGGGTGTCCTTTTTGTTCAGTCATTGCGATGGCGTCCAAAAGGGAACCTTCATGTTGACAACACCCCAGACCCACTCCGCCCGCCTTTGTACGCTCACAGCTTTTGGCCACATAGATGGGTGCTTCGCTCGGCTGCCGGTTCTGAGTAGCGGCTTTCGCGACATGCGCTTACCTGTCTGTGCTGAGCAAAAGCAATGACAGTAAATGACCGTGGGACCGTGAGATAACAAAATCAACAGGCCTGCTTGATGGTTCCTTCGCGGATAGCTGCGTGATAATCTTGAGAATACACGTTGCTGTAATCCATCTTCAACTCTTTTTTCTTCTGCGGGCTTTTCTTCACGGGGGTGTCTTTCTTCTTGTCCTTTGCACGCTGCTGCCTGACCTTGGACTCTGGGGTCTCCATCTTTTTGCGTTTGGGGCCCTGCACCTTCTCCCTCGAGGTTACAGTCTGTCGCAGTTTGTACTGTTTGCTGCTTTCTGTTTTTGGGGACGTCGTGGGTTTTGCCCTTGGAGATGTCTGCTTGCGTTGAGGCCTTGGAATGGCGCGGCGCTGAGATTCCAAAGTACCCTGAGGCTGTGTTGGCTTGATTCTCAGAAGCTTTCGGTGGAAGCTGAGGGCCAAAAACCTCGGCGCAAAAGGCGCCGCAGTGTATCAATTATGTTTTTCTCGGCAGTCCAAGCATCAGAACCACTGGCAGAAGGCTTGACCGCCCCATCGGCCTGGCAAGCAAGCATTAGGCGCAGCACTTGAAGGGACATTGTTTGGAAGAAAAGAACTCAACCGAATCCTTGACGCAAATGGGTTCGAACATTTGGTTGGAAACTGTAGCAGTGTGACCTGGTCATTGCTGACTGCCCTTCTTGGTAGGCGGGCCCTTCGCTGACTCAAAGCACTGAACGTTTCCGTTAACCACCCTTCAGGCTGGAGCATTCAAGGTGCAGCCTGATTCGACACTGCAAATCCATGATGGCATGTGTGTGTGTTATTGTGCCTCCAGTAAGGGGGAAGCTGCAATGACACACTGGCCACATCTCCAGCGTGAGGGGAACAGCGTTAAGAGCCTATGTCAGCGAAATGCTCTTGGGCAAGTGGTGCTAGATTCCACGCACGCTCGGCTGCAAGATGTTTCTCTCACTGACGTAGCACCTGCTGCATGCAGCAAAGCTGGGAGCACCCAACCAAGCCTGATGAGTGGCCAGAGGGTTGCGGGAATGGGCGCTGGGCACTGCCATTGCCAAAAGATTTCATTCTGAAAAGCGCGGGGGTGGCTCTGCACTCCTTGATGCCACCAGTTCAATCGCATTCCTGCAGCTACACTAGCTGACACAACGGTTGATGCTGATGATGTCATGAGCCTTTAGGACAGTCTCCCCTTGCAAACAAAAACCCCCTTCGGTGGAGGAGCCGGCCTGCAACAGAGGAAGTCATTGTGCACCTTGAATGCTCCAGCCTGAAGGGTGGTTAAGGGCCTGCCTACCTGCTTCACCGGCGAAGAAGAAGATGCATTTCAAAGAGGCAGTGCTTTTGCAAGCTGCAAACAGTCAGCAATGACCAGGTCACACTGCTACAGTTTCCAACCAAATGTTCGAACCCATTTGCGTCAAAGATTCGGTTGAGTTCTTTTCTTCCAAACAATGTCCCTTCAAGTGCTGCGCCTAATGCTTGCTTGCCAGGCCGATGGGGCGGTCAAGCCTTCTGCCAGTGGTTCTGATGCTTGGACTGCCGAGAAAAACATAATTGATACACTGCGGCGCCTTTTGCGCCGAGGCTTTTGGCCCTCCGCTTCCACCGAAAGCTTCTGAGAATCAAGCCAACACAGCCTCAGGGTACTTTGGAATCTCAGCGCCGCGCCATTCCAAGGCCTCAACGCAAGCAGACATCTCCAAGGGCAAAACCAACGACGTCCCCAAAAACAGAAAGCAGCAAACAGTACAAACTGCGACAGACTGTAACCTCGAGGGAGAAGGTGCAGGGCCCCAAACGCAAAAAGATGGAGACCCCAGAGTCCAAGGTCAGGCAGCAGCGTGCAAAGGACAAGAAGAAAGACACCCCCGTGAAGAAAAGCCCGCAGAAGAAAAAAGAGTTGAAGATGGATTACAGCAACGTGTATTCTCAAGATTATCACGCAGCTATCCGCGAAGGAACCATCAAGCAGGCCTGTTGATTTTGTTATCTCACGGTCCCACGGTCATTTACTGTCATTGCCTTTGCTCAGCACAGACAGGTAAGCGCATGTCGCGAAAGCCGCTACTCAGAGCCGGCAGCCGAGCGAAGTACCCATCTATGTGGCCAAAAGCTGTGAGCGCACAAAGGCGGGCGGAGTGGGTCTGGGGTGTTGTCAACATGAAGGTTCCCTTTTGGGTCCGAAACACTGAACAAAAAGAACACCCCTTTGTCACAAACTCCCATCCGATTAAGGGAGAAGCTGCGCAGCTGCTTCAATTTCAAGACTTCATCAGTCAGATCTTGTCTCAATCAAATCTTGCTCCAGAGTGCTGGTTCCACATGGCTGGAGTGCTAGTTGCCGCTACTTTCCCTTAACGGCTGTACTACAAAGTTGCGCTGTTCGAGCCTGAGCTCCGGGAGTACGTTTTCTTCACTACGGCTGTGCTGCAAGGTTGCGACTTTCAAGCCGGAGCTCCGGGAGTACGTTTTCTTTACTACGTTTGCGCTACAAAGTTGCGACTTTTTGAGCCGGAGCTCTGGGAAGTAGCGACTTTAGAGTTTCGGGGGCGGCTCCGGGAACAGGTGGCCACCTAACGCTAAAACCGGCCTTTGCCAGGGGACCGACTTAGTATTAGAGGGGGAGGGGGGAGGGTGCGTTTAGCAGTGATTATTGTCGGCACGACATACAAACAAGGAAAGTGTGAGTCGTGCAAAGTTCACGAGTAATGACCTGCGTGCACGACATCGATCCATTGCCCGGGATCATTCAAGCGCAGCAGCCCGAAGGCAAAGAAGGTTGGTAGAGCGATCGCATTAACAGCGCTGGAATGTGAATCTAATGGCTGAAACCGTTGTTTTTTTGCAAAACTACGGCATGGTTGGTTTCCCTTCTTTGGGCTTGCCAAGATACAGTATTTTTTAGTTCGCGGCGGCCCTGTCAACATGTAGTGTGGTTAGACCGGGAGAGTTTGCCCAGGACGCACCCGGTGACTGGCCAGCGTAGCGTAACCAAGAACACCTGCGTTTCACGCTGCGGGGGCCAATGGGTTTGAAGCATAACACGAAGAAGCAAGGGCTGGCGCGCGCTCTGGTGTATCCAAATAATGTGTTTCAATCTTCAGGGCTGGTTTGCAGCCAAGACGTGTCAACATAGGCCTCTTTTGGACTGTCACGTGAACAGGAAGTGGGGGAGGTACCACTTCCGAAACGCCTTGTCTGGCAAGCCCGCCAATGGCCTGCAGCATGTAGGCTTCTAGGAGCAAACACAGACAAATGGTTTCCAGAAATTTAAACGGAAACAATGCCAAACGTGTCGCATGTTTTGGCCCAATGTCTCGTTCCCACTCAAGGACCCCAATCCGCCATGCTCCTGGGTTTCTAGCAAATCTGGAGTTCTCATTTCTTTGCATCCTTCCCCCCCCTCCTCTCCCCGAACCAGCGCTCGGCTGGCGCATGTCTGACAGGGTTTATCCCGGGCAAACCCTTGGTCTTCCGAACATGTAGTTTTGCAGACGGCTTTTAACCTATAAGCCACTTGCCCTGTTTGCACCAGATCCGTCGAACAAAACTCTTGAGACTTCCGCCCACTTGCACTGATCCAGGTGCGTAAGGTCACGGAGCGCCTGAGCTTGGGCACGGAGTTCAAGTTTTCCTACCCAGACAAGGCGCTCAGAACTATCGACAAAGTCGTGCGGACAGAACGGAGTGTTTGCATAGTGTTGGGTAATTTGACGAATCGATGGACAGTCAGAAGGTGAATACCACAAACCGGGCGGACTGCTTTCTACAGTCCAGCGACGGAATTTGTAGATCAAGGCATCACGCGCAATGTCAAGCTAAGCCCACAAAGACAAGGGAGGGTAGCGCCGTTTAGTTGCATTTTCTCAAGGGCAAGGTCGAGGCACCTCAAGAATTGGTCGTTTACATGTTGCACAATCCCCCGGTTCTTTTCAGCAGTTGACCCCCCCTCCCCAAGATGTTTCATGAAACTGTTTGAAAGCTAACAAGGGGCTTTTGCGAGCTTTTAGTTCTGTGTCACAGCGGGACCGTGGGAAGCAAGCAGGAGGAGCGCAACACCTTCCGCCACCACCACGGTCAAGTCTTTGCCAGACTCACTGAGCAAGACGGATATAAGCGCTGCTTGAAGATTAACTTGTTGACCATCTTGAGCAAAGACTGGCGCGCTCCCAGACACACACACAGACGCACACGCGCAGAGAAACACACACACAGGCAGGGAGAGAGAGAAAGAGAGAGAGAGAGAGAGAGCGAGCGCAAGTGAGGTGTAAATCCGGCGGGTAGTACAGACACTATTGTACTGAATTACAAATAGCAAGATGCAAGAGGCATTTCGCATGAGGGAGCTGTCGTTTTAACGTGTTCATTTTTGAAGACAATGTTCGCAGGTGTCAACTCATCCGGACACGGATGGCGTGGACTTAGCTCGCTGTTTTGATTTTGGGTTCCTTGTGCTTGGTGCTGCTGTTGTCCAACATGACCGACGAGATTGGCCGGTTGCAGGAATCTGGCCTGTCACTGGGTTATGAGTATCTCTTCAGGCGGGAAGCCGCAATCGGCAAGTGACACAGCACTGTGTCGGGTTTGAATCAAGCCAGGCTGGCCTGGCAATTCTGTCATTCCTACCACAACTTTCATCAGCAATTTAATGCGTTCCTTTAGTGGTGCCCGTCTTCACTTTGCGCTTGATTGGTTCGCAGGAGTGCACATCCGTCGTTTTGGTAGTGTGTTTTTTCAACTGGTGTCCGATCATGGAAAAAGCGGATGGGCATTCGCAACACTTCTGGTTGTCCACGTGCGTTTATGCGATCGGATGTTTGGGCACCCAAGCCGTTGGTGCTTCCAGGTTGCACTTGCCTTCGGCTGTAGGCTGTAATCAAAGAATTGTTTCACAAAGCATGGAAATAACTCCTTTGTAGGCACTGAAAGTTGTCATGCTGAGATCGAGGGTCTTCTGGAAAGAAGTGGGCCGTTGGAAGTGTCAAATTCTGTGATAGTGAGGCCTGCTCATAGGACATTGTTTGTCAACTCCCTGAGAGCGTGTGATAGCCTTTGTACTGGCTCTTGTTGGAGTCCTTGTCAAGCTAGCGACCACCATGTTCCATACGGTGCGAGGTTTGATTCAACAGGTGGAAAACAACACGCCTGACATGGGTGTGGCTCAAAATTAAAGGGCTAGGGTTACGCAGGTGTTAGTCTTTGGTTCCATTTACTAAGGGGCTGTTGTGGTTTGAGCCACCGCCACATTGCTCGTGCAAACGCGCACAAGTGAGGTTGTTGCAATTTCTGAGCCCAGCAGCAAGCACCTGGCCCTAAAGTATTGTCTTGCACATTCAGCTTCTTCTGTGCATGCTGGCTGTTCTCGGAAGCCAGGTGTTTGCGTTGAGCCATATTTGGCCAGTGCCACGGCCTTCACGGACCCGCCTCAGGAATGCCCGCATCCAGGGTTTGCTGGATACTGACGGCTGCCCGGCTGGGTTGCTATCTTGAAGCTCTCAGGGGGCTGGGATGTGAAAAAGGGCAAGTGACCTCTTTTGGCATGCACCAAAGCAACGTGACTTCTTGGAGAACAGCTGGGCACAGTGCACAGTTTTGCAAGCAGTAAGATGTGCATAAATCTGACAGAGCTCGGTAGCGTTTTGTGGTTGAGCCTTGCCAGGAAGTTCATGTTGTGGATTTCGGAGAGATGCTTTCACAGGTTTGGCGTAAGGGTTTCTGTTGGTCCATCATGTTTGGCTTTTTCATACCCAGATATGCAGGGACTGTTCTGTTGAAGGATATCGATTTGTGCTCAGGCCGAGTTTTGGCATCGGCCTCACAGCTTGCCAAGCGGGTGGTAAACACTTGACAACTTCGTAATGTTCGGGCCAAACGGGCTCAAGCAAAGAGGTGTTTTTGCGTTTGTCGCCTTGAAATGAGACATCGAAGATGTTTGGAACCTCCCCTAAAAGGAGTCTCAGGGCAGCTCCGAGTGTAATCGAACACTTTCAGCTTCTCTTAAGATGTGAAAATGTTCGGAGGACGCGCTTGGGAGATGTGTTCGCGGTTCCTCCCACCCATGCCAGGCTCCCTTGACGTTGGCAGCATGTTTGGCGGGCTCCTTCAGCATGCTCAGAGATGCGAGTTTCCGCCCCTTCTCCGAGGGGTCACATTGCTCGACCAAGATCACATTTGTTTTTTGTTTCCGTCATTTAAACAAAGTGGCACGGTGTTGTTACCCATGTGCTCGAAACAGCTCCCGGTTGTGAGCATCTTGCCATTCAGGCAAGGTGAGTTGCAGTGTGCACGACATGACCGGCTTTGGCTTCAGCGGCATGATTGACTATGCGCGCGGCGATTACAAGTGCTGGCCCCAGGGGATGTATCTAATACTGTTCGGAGGGCATGTGTGTTCAACGCCACGATTTCGATGCATGTTGTTGGGGCTGAGCTTGGGACCGCTGACCGCTACTTGCTCATGTTTGCCTCCCACCCGAATACAGGCCTGATCGTGGGCGATTGACTTTGGAGCGAGGAAGGTCCTGAATGCTTGCCTCGAACATCGCAATTACGAAAGTACTACTCATATTTGTCTTTGCTCGTCCATCACTTGCCAACTGTCAGAGGCCATGATCAAATGAGCGGCGACTAGAGCCTTCATGCCGTGGAGAGGGCACTTGTTGACAAGGCCATAACACGTTGCAAAGGCTTGCGCATTTCGCAGAGCATTCAGTTGTGGAGCACACGCGCAGTTGCGTTGGCAACGTAAGGAACACATGACAAGGGATGTAGTTGTTGCGCTACGACAAGGTACTACTGACGGCCTTCCGGGCTCACTGGATGCTGAAGTTGTTTGGCAAGCGTGCGTTACCAAGGCCCTAACATCTGGTTTTTGAGTTCTTTGGCACGTGCGCTTTGGGTAACAAAGCTTTTGGAAGCAATTGTTTGGCAACTAATTTTAAACACAATCACCAGAAGCGAAGAAGAAGGGCTGCAAAAGTGAAGGAGTTGCATTTCCCATGAGTGGTCAAGAGTGGCTTGGCAGCGCTTTGCTGTGCAGGCGAGTATGCACTTCATATCGTCAACATGGTCCCACACTGTCGTTTCGGTTAGGCGGACCAACTAGAGTTGCTACGGCGCCGCAACAAAAAGTCACGCTGCTCCAATATGAGTGAAGGCTCACGCGTTGCAAGTCGTCTTCAATAACGCTGCACAGTGGCCCAGGGACGGAGTCCGAACCTGCTGAACTCTGTTTGGAGTCGTTGCTCCTTGCTGCTTTTGTTGTCATCGTTTTTGCCAGCATCGGCCATTTGCCTAGGCGAAGCTCCTTTGGATTGTTGGTTTGTGTTGGTTCCGGGACTGAGCAAGGTTCGGCATGGTCATGCACGTGCTTCCCCAGCCTGAGCCGGGACAGCCACAGTGATTCGCGCGGTGCGGTTCGCGGTTCGTTTTGGCGTGGCTACCTCACGTGGAGACCGTGGAGCCTGAAGTCAAATTGTGACAATCTGACCCAGTTGGGGGGTCCACGTTTGCTAGGGTTCAGAGCCAAAAAAGGGGGTGTGAGCGCAGATGCGCAAGGAGTGTGCTGTTGTTGCATATTTTGTGTGGGTGGGTGACGAGTCATGTTGAGTAACAACAGCGAAGTCTTTATAAACTTTCAGGAAAGTTTATAAACTATGTCAAGGGTTTGACGGTTTCCCTGCAACAAGGCAACACCTTTGAGAAGTCTGGGACAGGGGGGAGGGGGTGGCGGTGAGAAGTCTTTATATACAATCTTGACAAAGTGGGTTGAGTCACATCTCATGGCTGAGACCCCCCTTTCCCCCCCGCCCCCCCCCCCCCGGAAATAGGTCCCAAGCTAAAAATGTATTGAAGAGGTAAAGGCCCAAATGTACTGCAAGCAGTGTACCACAGTCAGCAAAGCGGGCTTTTTGTCGATGAGCTAGAGATGCAAAAGCTACCAGGCCTTGAGCCAGGAATGGCAGTGAGATTGCTGCATGAGTGGATGCTATGACACAAGCACAGAACAAACACGAAACAAAACAGACAAACAAATCTTTCCACTCATGGCATCTCAGATTCAAAGAATGCTGCCTTCGCGCGATTTCATCACTCGGCTCCTGGGCCTGAAATATATGGGGTTGCGCAGTAGTACAGGGATTTGACAAAGTCGTGCCTTCGTTTGAGGCATTGCTTAAATTCCATGCGGGAGAGGGCTTCGAAGAAGTCGTGCCTCTTTCCAAAACGCATAGGAACTCTGCATGTTTGAAGGGATAGGCTTTTGGGAGGCATTGCAGTTGAAAATTGCTATTCCTTGGGGTTTAGGATGGTTTAGGCATGTTCTATCTTATCCGCCTAGGAGCGTTTACAGTGTGTTTCGCAATCTTGAGACTTGACGTCTCTTTTTGTCACAGCTGGTTCGAGTCGGCACCTTGCTTTTCCTCTCACCTGGACTAACCTGGCGTGTTTGCAGGGCTGAGCGGGTGCGCCTGAGGGGGTGCTTATTATTTGGCTGGCGCCTGTGCAGCGCTGAGCCGGTGTGCTTGAGCGGGAGTGCTTACCATTTGGCTGGCGTGTGTGCGCAGGGCTGAGCAGGCGCGCTTGAGCGGCTGGCGTTCGCAGGTGCGAAATTGAGTCGAAAAGTGGGTGCGGAAGTGGGTTGATGGGAGCGGGTGCAGAGGTGAGTGAACTTGTGGGCGCGGGTTCGGCACATGTGGGCCCAAAATATCCCAAAATCATGACCAGCTCGGTGATGTCAAGCGTTCCATGGGGATTGTTGCCGAGGCGTGACTTAGGAGCGACTTCTTGGAATCGGCGTTTACATGGGGGAACACATGGCCACACAGATAAGGAGTGACTCAGGCATGACTTTGTCGTTTGCCTGTAGCACATTGGTATATTGCACCGTAGCCCTTAAACTATTCGGTTCCGAAACACTCGAGCACGGACACACGCAACTTTTTGAGAGGATCAAAGTGAGAATCTTTTGATACGTACACGGCGTATGTAGAAAAGACACTGACTGTACCAAGAACCGTGGTGAGAAATTCGGGCGAGCCGGAGCGAACAAATATGGAGATATCATATGTCATTATGATGACATTGCTGCACCCGTTGGATGTGGGTTACTCAACTGGAGTATCCACGTTCCTCCTCTCTTTTCCGTTTCAACGCTGCCTTGGAGATGTTGCAATTTGAATCACTTGACCTTTGTGTCTTTCGCTTGAGCTCACCTTGTAATTAGGGAAAATATTCCCCAGTCGCTGATTCTCAGCTGGTTTGAGATCGTCGGTTATGTTCCGTCCTCGGAGATCTCTCATTCGGCTCGTCTTGGCCCAATGGAAAACATGGGTGACCAAGCAATCTAGGACTCCGTAGAATCCGTCATAGCCGAGTGAAGGTCCCAATACGAATCTCTTCAAGGCTGCACACTCGGAACTGATCCGGCTGGACCTCGCCGAAGCATTTCACGATCTATTCCATGGCCAAGTGCATGGCGGAGATCCGAACACAGTTGGCTCTGGAAGTCATGGCCTACTTGATGAAGGAGCAGTTCTCTCGACTCAAAGACTTGCATGAAACTTGCCAGCAAGTTGTTGAACATCAGCCACCGAAATGTCATACTGGACCCGTCACACCGACTCAATGCTGAACCCCTGGCCTTGCGCAGACATTCCCAAGCGCTCTGAATGGGTCTCTGCCTTTTCGCCGGAAACGCAAAAGACAGACATGAGGCCTGTGAACTCCGTCGAGATGCCTGACAAGGCTTTGAGCAGCGCTGCCATGATCCGCTTAGCCACCAACAAGTCTGGTGGGTTGCGCTGGACAGCGTCTGAGAGAGGGTGGGCAACATTGGCTCTGTTGGTGCGCTGCAAGGACGAAAGCTGGGAGAGGTGCTTACTTGCTTCCAAGCTGGTTTTTTGGTGTCGTTACTCGCGACTGTCATAATGCGCAGACACCCGCCAAACTGGCGACTGTCATAATGCTCTCGTCTGGAACTATTGTCTGTCGTTCATGGGTTTTTCCACCGTACACGCCGCTTGTCAACTGAAAGTTGAGTTCTCATCATTTTTGCCCTTAGTCGTTCAACAACCTTCTTGATGTGAGGCTGCCTGGCAACCATGGAAGAAGCCTTGCTGAATGGGAAATCGCAGTTCGTTGGTGCAAAGGACAGGGTCACTGACTGCCCAGTCATTGTTTGCCCAGAACATCATTACCAGCCACAACACTGCGATTGACCCACTCAACCTGGAATGATCACAGGGTAGCAACGACACGCCTGAAAGGTTGGAGGCGCCCTTGGAGCAACCGTGGTCACATCGACCATGTGTTTCAACCCCCGGCGCACGTGCCCGACCATGTTCCCAATGACTACATTATACGACTTTTGTCGCGTTGCGTTTGTAATGGTATATTCCCACCCTTAGGAACGGTAGCCCGGTACGACGCGCATGGGTTTTGTAGAGTTCACCCTGTGTCTCGTCAGCTAAGACTGCGTCGGGTGTATATTGCTCCACGCCCTTTCCTCCATAGAACACTTGTACACTCTCGATACCTTTGGTCTTGCTAGGAGGTTCCCGTTTTGGATCATTTCCGGAGGTGATGACGACAAAACTAATTGCCGCCGGTCGGGCTCCTTCAAGTATGAGCTGCAGGAAGCGGTTCTCCCGCTCTGGATCTGTTCAACGGAATTTTCGAATCTTTTGAACCTGATAGAAGTCCATACCAAACTCTCAAGTAAACTCCAGACATGGGACTTGGTCAGCGCAGAACGGCTGATAAGTTCAACTCTGGCAGTTGACTTTTCTGTCACAAAGCAGCCAATGGCCTTGCATCCTCCTGGGTCAGTGCTATGCCGCTATATCCGGCTTGAAGGAAGATGTGCTTGTGACGGGGTTAAGAGTCCCGTCACGTTCTTGAAGACAAAGTACATGTCCAGGATTATTTCGGCTCAGACCAAGAATGACAGAGTCTTCGAGGTCGCCTCTCTTCTCGTTTCCTGGATATACCGGTGGTTCCCAAGGTTCAGGGTGTGGATGTTCAGTCGCGGCGCGCTGGTCTGCGTCTGATCGTCGGTTCTTCGTCCCTGTGGACTGCAGCACATGCTCGAGGATCTCCAAATACGCAGGAGGATGTGAGGAAGAGGATCAAGAAATGTGAGTCCCTTGACTGTGTTTGGGACTCTGGCCGGATATGCGCATTCCGGCTGTTGTTCGCAAAATTTTGCCCAAGTAGGATTACGCTTGTCCTTCTCATTGTAGAAGAGGGAATCAGCGTCTGGATCTCTCACAACATGGCAAGACTGGCAAGCTGGAGAGTGGTGAATCCGGTTGGCGGTGTAAACGTTGGATATTCCATGGGTTTCTTATTGCCAGATTTGAATCCTGATTCCGTCAGCTTGTTCGTAGCTCCGTCGCGGTTTCATGAAGTTGCTTAGCCATCCCTCTCCAGTCGAAACAATTGAAATCTATACCAAGTCATTGCGCAGAGTCATAGCAGAGAGTCGCTTGCGAGGAGCAATGCTCGTGAGAGCCACTGGCGAGGAGCAATGCTCATGAGAGTTCTCGCTCATGACGAGTTTTAAATTCCTTTCTTCTCTTTGTAGGGTGGCGGGGTAGGGCCGACAGCGCTCTACGAAAATCGACCCTCTGCGGAGATTCGTGTGGTCGAGGCCAAAAACCTGAGAACTTTTTACGATTTCTGCGGTGCGCGCGCGACCCTCTGCGGCGATTCGTGTGGTCGAGGTCAAAAAGCTGAGGGCTTTTTATGATTTCTGATCTGTGCGAGCGACCCTCTGCGGAGATTCGCGTGGTCGAGGTCAAAAAAGCTGAGGACTTTTTACGAGTTCTGCGGTGTGCGCGCGACCCTCTGCGGAGATTCGCGTGGTCGAGGTCAAAAAATCTGATCTGTGCGAGCGACCCTCTGTGGAGAGTCGTGCGGTCGAGGTCAAAAACCTGAGGTTTTTTAGCGATTTTGACATTCCAGGATGAACCCTCTGCGGGGATCGGCGTGGTCGATGTGCAAAAACTGAGGGTTTTTCCGATTCTGATTATGCTCGCGAGACCCTCTGCGAGGATCGTGCGTGTCGAAGCGCTCTCGCTGCGGCGCCGTGCGAATTTATTGCTTGCGAAGTGGTCTTTGGAAGTTGTCGCGTGGTTTGCGCGGCTGCTCTCGGAGTCGCGCGGTCGCGGGGTCGATCCCCGCCTGGTCCGAAGTCGCAACTTTTAAGTGCAAGGGTAGTACGCGGACGTAGCTGCGGCTGGAGAATCGCAACTTGTAAGTACAACTGTAGCGCACGGAGCACAGCTCCGGCTGCATAATGGAACTTTTCAATCAGAACACTAGTGTGCGAAGTACTTACCGAAAGCTCCCGCAGCGCTTGCGCAGAGCAACTTGCGCTGCCGCTCGCGCAAGGCAACCTGCGCAAAGCAAATTGCACAGAGCACTTGCACATAGCAGCTAGCGCAGGGCAACTTGGGCAAACCAGAAGTCAGGTGTTTTGTTGGGAGAATTTTATCATGAGAGTGATTGCACACAGTCATCATGACAGCCATTGCATAGGGTCATCGCACAAGAGTCATTGAACGGAGTCATCACGGAAGTGATCGCGCAGAGTCATCATGAGAGTCATTGCCCAGAATCATCATGAGAGTCCTTGCGCAGAATCATCATGAGAGTCATTGCACAGAGTCATCATGAGAGTCATTGCGCAGAAGCATCATGAGAGTCATGCATAGAGTCTTCACACCAGAGTCATTGCACAGAGGCATCATGACCGCGATTGCATAGAGTCATCATACACGAGACATTCAACGGAGTCATCGCGAGAGTCGTTGCACAGAGTCATCATGAGAGTCATTGCGCCGAATCATCACGAGAGTCATTGCACAGAGTCATCATGAGAGTCATTGCGCCGAATCATCATGAGCGTCATTGCACAGAGTCATCGTGACAGCCATTGCATAGAGTCACCACACAAGAGTCATTGCACAGAGTCATCATGACAG